TTACGTGTGTGTGTGCGCCAGGACTAATGTTATGCAAGCGGCTCTTTGTTAGGATCTGTTGGCATTATTCGCACCAGGCTTTAAAAGTTGGTGAGAGTGACTGAAAACTCATCGCGTGTCTGAGGATGTGTGTGTGTGTGTGTGTGTGTGTGTGTATGTGAGTGCGCGCGCGAGTGAATTGTGTGCTTTCAGCCGGGGTCGCGGAAGATGTACCGCTCCACCTAGTGAAGCGTATTGTGTAAACTGGCGGCCGTTTTCGCCTTGCAGAACGAGTGCGAGGGTGGAGTTTCTGAGCAGGGCGTGGCGATTGCGCAATGACGGCGGGTGTCGATCCCGGGACGGTTTCGCCACTGCTCGCGGCTGCTCGGCGGAGGCGGCGGGCAGTGAAAGCGGCCAGGCCTGGCCCGCCGCCGCCGCCGCGCCTGGCCCAGCCCGGCCGTGTATCAGGGTCAGGGTCCCCCGCCGCATACCTCGTTGATCGCCTTAGCTGCGGCGCTCCACTTCTCGCGACCGGTCCTGACGGCCGCGGGCACGCAACTCGCCCGCCCGCCTGCCCTGCCGCACCGATGCTTGCGTAACGGGCAATGGCCCCGCCCCACCCCGCTTCACCCTGTTTCACCCCGCTTCATCCCGCATCACCTCGCTGCACCTCGTACCGCTCGACGTTTTCCCCCCTCTGCAACCCGTTCCCTTCGCCGGAAATCGCTCGGTGCATTCCTTCCGCTGATCGTGAGGTAACTCCCCTCCCAGGGGCCGCCTCCGACGACTCGCCTCTCGCTTCTTCCCAGTGGGCTCGCTCCACGAAGCCAAATCAGCTCATCGGCTGCTGGAACTCTCAGACTTGCACCAAGCAATCAAGTGGAGGGGGGACGAGCCACCTCATTTCCATCGTATTTTGACATTCTGTTGATTTTGACAGTCACATGTGAGCAACATGTGACGGCTGTCCTTCAAATCGATATCATTTGGTTTCATGAGGGGAAATTAATCACCGGGAGTTTGCATATAAATTTCAGGAGAATAGTCGTTGTCGTATCATTTAACAGTGCCGAAGCCTATTTTTTTCTTTCGTGAATTCTTTCATTCACAAAAATTCGATTGAATATGTGTTTTTATTATTTTCCTTCTCTTCCGATACAGATTATACACGAATACTGTCCCTGCGTGCATGTAATAAGAGCAGAGAGAATTTTTAATTTTTACTTGTGTATTGTACACTGATTTTCTAAGCGAAGTTAATATTACTGTAATAAACAAATTTTATGAGTTTCCACTAGTGAAACCCAGGTAGGTGATTCACCTGCTACATCTATAAGGAAGATCTATATTGCTTGTCCAGCAATGCTGACTGATGCTGACTCGACGTTGTTGCTCACACAGATCACGTTCCCGACACCACAGGCATTTGCCGTATCACGAACTACCTGCTCACATTACCACTATAGGAGTTAAAAGAATTACTCATCGAAGGTTGTTAATCTGTTGGGTGCTCGAGTATAACTTCTTCCGGGAGTGTTGGGAGAGTTTGTGAATCATAGTTGTAATTTCTCTTCCTTGTTTAAAAGAAATAAAAAAAAGTATGTATTATGCAACTTAAATGAAAAAAATCATACACCCTGATTGAAATCATCAAAACTAGCTTCACAAATAAACAATTGAAGGAATTAAAAAGTACTTCAAATATATTTAAACCACTAGGTCCTCGTTCTTTATTCTGTTTTTTATGATCGATTCTAAACATTCTCTTAACACACCTTCGAAGTATCGTGTATGTATTGCATGCATTCTCCAATGTGGCGAAATTGAAAAGAAGGCTATTGACTTTCTCTTTGTATTTCGCATCATATGTGTTGATGGAGCACGTAGCGGGAGAATTGCTCGCGATTTCACTGCGTGTTTTCGGAGCGCTAGCGCGGGGGGCTATATCTGGGAGAAGGAAAGTGTTTAAAACAGTTTTTACTCACCAACTGACGAAAAGTAGATTTTCATCTAACACTCCGTATACTCTTTTTTAGAAAGAACATTTTGAATTTAATTTTATATTTTATGTAAAATTTGAGGTTGTCTCTCCGATGTCGTTTTTCAAAAATTGTTTAAGATTCATTATATTTTGTTAAATTATTTAAATTTATAATGATTTCTTATACAAGACGTAGATTTGATTCATTTCTATTTATTTCTAAACGAATTCCTTTTACGACGTAGTGCATGTTATGTATAATATTAAAATCTCGAAGTATTCATTCTTTCTCCATATTTTTGGTTTTACGGTGTATTCAAAGATTGAATTAAAAATAATAAACCCAACATTTTTAATTATAGAATGAAAACTAGTGAAATGCGTAATTCTTGATTTTTCAATTCCGTAAATGTAAAATTAATCATTTGAATAGAAAACATACACTTTTATTGTTTTATTGATTTTTGGAAACATTAAGAATAATTTGTAGAGAAAAATATTATTTTCCGTTGGAATGTATATGCAATATTACAAAATCAAAACTGACTTGAAAATATGTTCCTGCTTTACAGACGTTCAACGTTGTGGAGATATTTCGTTTCTGTTAAATCTTTAAATTACATCTTGAAGTCATCTATAGACTTTTCTTTGAAGCGTTCTTCCCAGTATTATTCTTTAAAAGTATAGAACAATTAAACACTTTTTATTTCTAACATACTTATATCGTACGTCATTTTCTATTTCACGTCATTTAATTCACATACGTGAATAATGTGTTCTTTCTCTGCACCCCTTCGGAATCATTTTAATGTTTGCTGGGATTTCTGTCACAACATATGTAGATTATTCTATGTTGCTGATGTCTGGAAATAATGTGTAGGGTTACGATAGGGATCGTTGGTTTCATAAAATAATGATTGCACCCAGATCACTTTCTGCGAAGAGCACAGGGATTATCAAATTAAGGACTTTAATATTTTGGATCTTAGGAATGCTATTTAACTGCCTCACATATCTTGCGAATTTCAGAAAATGTATCTGTACCAAGACTATTTAGTACAATTTATCTTATACTTGAGGCGGATCAATTATATTTCTTGTTTAGGAAGATATATTTGTAATACTATTCGTAGTAAGCCCTACATCAATAATTATTTCTAGAACTTAATTAGGTGGGACTAGAACCATATTCTCGCACGATTTTGAGGATTGCTCTAGTGATACCATAGACGTAGAATCAATTAAGTTAAACATTTGCGGTGATGTATTTTTATAAATATGGAATTTTCAAATTCGGATTACAATGACTGACACTCTTCTCCCTTAATTCCTCGTGTTTTGAATTACTTGCAGCCGCTACAAGTTGCTTCCAGAAATTAATTTATTCCTTTTGACCCAAGCCCGAAAGTAGTTTTCTTAACTTCAGAAATTAGTATTGTTCTGTTCATCTTGAGCATCAAGAGGTAATTGAGGGGCGGACCATCAGATGGAAGCAGAGTGCGTTCCGACCGATCTCGCTTGGCGTTGCACATTGCCGAGTCCCACGTGGCCGAGGCAACCGGTTCCCGAACCGAACCGAACCGAACCGTGAGCGCGAGCAAGCGAAAGACGGGACCGCGGCGCAGTTGCGACAATTTCTGATGTGGGTCGCGCCCACTCGTAATGAGGGCTGACGCAAGCAAGCGAGCAAGCGCCCCGCCCCGTCCCTCCCCGTCCCGCCCCTCCCCGCCCTGCCGTCCGCGGCGCGGCGCCGCCTCCGCAGCCAATTGTCTGCCGGCCGCCTTCCAAGCCGCCTCCCCCCCCTCTCAGGTGCCGTTCACACACAATCGGTCGCGCCACCTGCCCTGCGCCAAGCGACTGGACATGATTCTTTTCCTTGCGACTGCGGTGTGGTTTTCCGTTTGATTTCGGCGCCGTTTTCCGAAGATGACCAGAAAAAGTTCAATGGAACATTTGTTCGCGTCTACTGCATTTCCACTTCAGAACCTTATTCACTTTCAAACGAAGGTGACAGACTTAAAAAGGCAAGCTTGAGCGCGGCGATTTAATATCGGTGCGCTGAAGTGACGGAAATATGGGTTGTGTTTCTGCAATAAGCCTTTCTATGTTGTATCGTGAATGGTGTGTTGTACTAGCTATCAGTCGATGTTATCAATCATCCCTTGCACAATTGTCCTCCACCTTTTCCTTCCATCCTCTTCCCTGTTTCGCGACCGCCGTTAAACCGAGCCCGGGGAAAGTTCCCAGACCTCCTGTGCCTCTGCCAATGCGGATGCGCTTCATTTCGGTTTCGTTTCCGTCGTGCAACTCTAGAGACGTGCTTCACCAGTTACTTCCGCAATGGGACTAGGTTCACTCAATGCATTTTGTTTTTAATACAACCCTCTTATTAACTGCACTGTTTTTAATAAAACCCTCTTATAAATTGCAAACAATTAGAGTCTCTTCGAATAATTTTTATTTCTACACGTGATTTAATTTTGCAATGTGATGTTTTGGTACTTCTTTGACTTAAAAATATTTATTACCTGCAATTGGTATGAACATTTGGTGTGTTAGTATGTTGCAGGGTGGCATTGTAAGATACTTATGTTTTACGTTAACCCATTCAGTGTCAGTTCCGGGCGTGTTGAATGTTCTATGGTTTAGACGCAAAGAGAGTGTATATGCTTTTCTTTTCCCTTTCGTTTTCTTGTATCCGTGCAATATATTGTGAAATTGTGTGTCTGGATCTTGCAGACGTACATATTTGTAAACGTGACAGAATTTCGGAAAATATAGGCGAGTAATGGAGTGTGGAGTAATCTTCAACATATGTTTAAGCGAGGGGAATGCTTATTCTAAGAAGGAAATTCGTATCAAATTTTAAAGGCGTGTTTGTATAAATCTTTCAACATATAATTTTATTAATGCGACTATATTCACAATATGTGGACATAGGTTGCTATTTAAATAAAATACAAGCGTACTTATAACCTAAGTATGTACAGCGAGGTGGCGAGTGAAGAATGGAGGAAGAGAATGGTGGGTTGAGTTGGACTTAGCCGTAGTAAGCCTTAGCCGCCAGGGGGGCAGCGTAGGCGGCGACGGGGGCGGCGACCTTAGCCACGGGGGCGGCGTAGGCGGCGACGGGAGCGTGGGCGACGGCCACGGGGGCAGCAGCGACAGCCTTGGCGACGACGGCGGGCTCACGGTGCACGACAGCGTTGAAGCCGTTGACGGGGTCGGCGGTGTACTCGACGGTGCGGCGGGTGCCGTCGGGCTCAACCAGGGAGTAAGAGCCCTGGACGACATCACCGTTGCGAGACTCCTGCTGGCCCTTGCTGTCGCCGGTCAGAGCATCCTGGATGTCGTAGGCGTAGCTGTACTGGGGGTTGGGGTCGTAGTCGGTGTCGACGGCGACGGGGGCGGCGACCTTAGCGACGGCGGGGGCGGCGGCGTAGGCCAGAGGAGCGGGGGCGTAGGCGCGGGCGAGGGGCGCCGCGTAGCCCAGAGCAGGGGCGGCGTAGGCGCGGGCGGCCAGGGGCGCGCCGGGGGCGTAGACGGCGGGGGCGCCGATGACGCCGGCCTTAGCGACGGCCACGAGGGCGGCGAAGACGACGAACTGGAAAATAAACGAACATATTTTCAGAGATGATAACGTTTTAATGTATTCTGTCCCGATGTGTTACACATTTTTTGAATGCAATAATTCTGATACCCTGAAGTTTTTGTATTACGTCTAAGACAATTCTTTCCTTATGCAACTTTTGCATATACTACATGTGTTTGTAACTGAGCAAATTAACAATTAGTAAATTGTTTAGACAATGTAAATAACAATTAGAACTTGTTTAGGCAATGCGAATTACAATTAGAACTTGTTTAGACGTTACTTTGCATTGACATATTGTTTTAGTTTTAGTGTAACTCTGTATAGAGAAAAATAAAATGGAAATGAAGTGGAGTCTGCACTACAACCACACTCCAGTACGATAGCCGCTGGAGCGCTCACCTTGAATGCCATTGTTCCTGTGGCTGGATGCGTTGGCTTGTGACTCTCAGACGCGTCGCGGGCTTTTATATACATCGGCGGGTCGGCCGCGTAGGGTGGGTGTGTCGAAAGAGCCTCGGAGGGGCGGCGGGCAGCAGCAGGAGCGGCTGCGGGCCCCCCACGCGCCCCAGCCCGTGCTGCCGCCGCCGCCGCCCCCTTTCACTTGGACAGGGCGCGAACCTCGGCGGCGCACACAATGGGCGTCCGCCCGCGGGGAGGCCACGCCCTCGTGGCTGCCGTCGAGGTGGCAGGCGCCCCGGGCGCCGGCGACAAGTTCAGCGAACGTCCTCCGCGGGCGTTGGGCTCCACGCCGGCCCCGGCGGCGGCTTCGGTGCCTCGGAAATTCGGACAGCCACCTCTTCCATGTAGACATATAGTGGCATATAGTTTTTAGGTGTTTGAGGGATAAAGATTATGCCTCGTTCTGAATATGGAGTGGGTAAAAGAAATTTCCTTTGGGTATCCGGCTATAGGCTATCATTCGGTCATTTTATGCCCATAAATGATGGACTAGGTGCAATTAATCAGATGCGATATGTATGCAGATTGGAGACACAGCTATTTTTAAGGTTTGCGAACACATACAAGTCAGTAGAAGGTCAAGATAATTAACAGTTATCCTCGCATATGGCAGGGAATGGGATATCTGTAATACAGAATGGAAATGGTCGCTTATAGGGACTCATGGAAAGGTAAAACTGAAATACCGAAAATTGTGGTTTTATGACTCTTTCTCTCAGACCCCTTCAAATACGTGCTGCATTTGAATCGTTTCAGATTAAAAGATAACTTCTTTTAATAATATTCGTTGGGATTGTTCTTGTGTGAAATAACTGGGTAAAATTTAATGTATTTGTGGCCATAACGCATGTAAAATTTGGGTGGTTTTTGATGGGGTGAGTGCTTACGGGGCAGAATGTTCGTGTTTGTTGTAAAAAAATGTACTTGGTTTTATTCGTGTGTTTTTCTCTTAATCAGTGCTCTTCGAGAAAAGTTATGTGCATCTGCACAAGAAGTTTGTGAAGTGTTTCAATGTAAAGAAAACAATTTATTTCGTGGCCTTAAATGTCTTAAAATTCATACAATTGAAGAATTTGTCCCAAAGTCTTGCTCAATTGGTGAAACGATAACGGTCAGTCGGTCGCGCTCAATCGATTTTACATTTTCCGTAATTTCATCACGTATATTGTGAAGAAATTATATGTCTGAGTCCTTCAAAAATTACAGATACGTAGATAACAGACTAATTTGTCAAAATAATACTTTTTGCCTCTACCGTGCAGCACTCCAAATTTATGGATCAGAGGAGGAAAAACTGAAAGATCCTGATCACCATTGGACATTTCAATTTATGATAATTAGAAATGAGAAATTATGGTAATTAGAAATTAGAGTTCGTGGTCTACATCAGCAAAAATGCTGTTGAACAAAAGTACACAAAATGGTTTTCCAAAAAGTAGCACGAACACTTCAAGATCAACAATAAAATGCTCTCGTATAACATTGCAAGTATTTTAAGGAAAACAATGTTAACGAATACTGCAATTACATAGAAAAGTCATAGGAATACACCAGTTACTATTTACAAATAAAAAGTTGGTTCCAAACTTCAACGCGTTAATAGCAGATATTTAATGGCTCGCTGCATTTTTCATGGAGTCATGCTCTTGCATGAGTTCAGCTGTGCCATGAGTATGACTAATGAGAATTCAGTCGATATGCGGAATATGAGAATAGGTGTAATATTATAATCACATATTTGCACTTTTCGGGCAAAATCTTAAGTGTTCCATTGTTTTTGTAATATCCCGATTTCCTGGTTACTGAAGCTTCAGACACCTCTTACATGGTCGGGATCAGCATTGTTATCGTTCAATGTCTACGCGCATGTATAGATAGAAGATTTATATTTTCTCGAGTTCCCGGGTATCTAACGAAATACTTATAAACACCTGCTACATATGCAGAGACTGCATAGTTTCCTTTCATTTTCTGTCCGCATTAGAGATTAGTAATATAGATTATAAACAGATGTGGTCAAGTGAGTGTAGCTATGAAATTACCGCTGGAAATGAAGTTAATTGCTGTGTTGATTAACGTTCTTTTTGTCCTTAACTAAAAAGCGTATGTTGAATATACTTCATTGAACTTTCCACTTGAAAACTACATTGGACGTTGTTTAATGGAAAAAGTCTTAGTTGAATCTATCTCCCACCATTTAAAATTGTATTATTTTTTCTAATGTTTTCTTAAATATTTTTATTTTGAAGATCTGCAAAAAGTAATCTTTCCATGAAGAGAATTGTTGGGAAGGAGCCTTTAGAAATGGGAATTATATTTTACGAGCTGGACCACATATTGCGCACTCTGTAAATCATTGTTGTAAATGTGAAAATAGTTTCATACTGGTTCCTAACATGGTAAGTCTAGTCGCTGAACTGTACGTATTGCATTAAACGCCCGGTGTTAGGGAGTTTTAGCGCCAAGCGTAAGGTAACGGCGTTATATACTATCAGCCACGTGATGGACCTTGGTCATAACATCTTACCTTGGGCGTAAGGTACGATGTTATACCTTCATAATTAGTGCTCGCCTCTGGGAGTTTCTACGGTTACTTTACAAGCGGCAAAATGGCCGCCTAAAAACAGGAAAAGTTGACTTTTTCCAACTCTGGTAAACCGATTCTTGTATGTGAGTCAGTTTCAATTATTCCTTACCAACTCCACAACGCTGGCAAGAATTAACGGGATATGTTGGAGAGGTGACAGAAAGGAATTCCTCAAAAAAAAAAAAAAAAAAAAAAAAAAAAAAAAAAAAAAAAAATTAAATCATATTTCGCGATAGGTTATGTCTTACGCTCATAACGAACGTTTGTTTTAAGGTATTTCCACATTTTCAAGGAGAAAATCATTCCAGACTTGCATACTCATCCGGAAAGCCACAAAAATCTAAAACTCCATGCACATGTATATGTGTTGTTCTGTTGACTCGTAACGTGTTTTAAATGTCTCACCACTAGTTTACACTCTTTGATGTAGTAGGCAATTTCTCTGCTCAACGCTTGAAATGCTTGCTTTGTTATAATGCATAACACAATGTCGCAATTTGCTAAATCTCTTCTGTTGTTGTTCATTGCGACCGTATAAAGGCGTTAGTCACGTGATTAATAGAGTTTCAGGATGTCTCCTTACGCCTGCCGCTTAAACTCCCTATTGTGCGTGATTGAACATAAACAAATCGTTCAAATCAAGTTTTACAGAAACATTATCACGCTTTAATTTTATTTTGGAATATGATGTCTTATCTTTTCCTTCGAATTCTTTTACGTAGACTTCGTGTTACTTCTGACATTTGACCGCCCATGCTAAGGAGGAGGGGTCCTTAGAAAACTAAAATTCCGTAGAAAGTTCAATAAGGTCTCATTTTGTAGAATACTGCTAATGAAAAAAACTCGAGATTCATCATTACTCTGGCTGTCCATTAGCTTTCCCCCTCCCAATATATCCCCGCCATTCCATGTCTTCCAAAATTCGTGCCTTTGAAAAACTTACATGTCCTTCATAACTCGTGTCCCTTGGGAATTCGAAAACATTATTTTAAGATCCAAGGGACAGCGTTTCCGAGCCAAACGCGATATTAGTGTGTGGTCCAGTAATCGTTTCTCTACAACATAATTGGCAAACTTTTATTTTTTTCTTATTAAATCTGTTTGATGAGTGACGGGAATGAAATGTTCTATTTGCTTCAGTAGTACCCGTACAGTGTTTTTCTCTGTGTGCGTGTGTATTGTTGTCAAAAACTGATCTCAATACTTAGCGTATTATTCAAAGAGGAATTTTGTTTAAAAGACAGATGTTTTGAGTTTTTGTTCAAAGAATCGGTGCTAGGAAGAAAGTGATTAGTTGTCAACATCTCTCAGACTTTGCAGCAGTACTTTGAAGTTTCGGAACACCGATGCATCATTTAAAAAATTAACTTGCCTTGTCAATGCTTTAACCACATTTTAATCAGTAGTCACTTTTCCTAGCTGTCCTCACCCTTGATGTTAGAAGGACGAAGGTCATTACCAGTTTTGTGTTTACATATTGCATTCTGACTACACACATCTTGATGTAACACTGCAGTTCGATTCATGGAAAGTACTCGGACGCAAGTGCCCACTGCGTTGTTTAACATAATGTTTGTCCTTAAGAATGATGCATATGTTAGATAAAAAATAATGATAATTTTCTTGGAGTTATGACGGAGATACCTCGCAGCACCTCGCTTAAGTTTCAATACCTGTATATAAGTTATTTAAGAGAAAAGTATCTACAGTGACGATAGGGTGAACTATATCACCCGTACAACACAAATTCTTTATCGGTTTTTCTGCATTTAAAACTGCAACACCCCGCGAGACACCCAACTCGACCAATCTACCTTTGCAGAAATAAATCAGTTAAATATGAACAGAGGTATTTCATATGTTTGCACAAGTTACTGGTAAAATAATTTATTTGAATTACGAAAGAAGCCGTATCAAGGTGTCAACATCTATACGTCAATATTTTCCGCTCCAGAAATGTTTTGAAAGCTAATTTGATGGAGAACTTGAGTAACAGGTGAAGCTGACATTCAATAAACGCAATAAATTCCTTCTAATTAAATATTTTCGTGGCAAGTGCTGTGCGGTGTGTCAAAAGTGAAGCGTGCGTCTCGCCGTTCTGACTGTTCTTCATTGTGCGCTGTGTCGTCCTAAGTTTAGCATCCCGGAGGCAGCTCGGCGTGCCCCGCCCGCCTCCGCGAGGCAAAAGAGAGCGCCCGGGGGAGCGGGCCGGGGCGCGGCAAGTGGCCAGTTCCTGCGGGCGCCTTAGGGTGGTGGGTGGGGGGGGGCTGCTGGTTTCTCTCGCCGACGCGAAGCCGCTTGGCGCGCGCGGCGTGCGCGGAGTGGCGGCGAGGTCTCACCACTCGGTGGGGCTTCGGCGCCGGCGCCGGCGCGCGCTTGTGAAGACACCTCCCTCCTCCCTCCCTCTCCTGCTACTCGCCTGGGGTTT